AGGTGGTGAAGAGACCGCCAACCACCTTCCTCCCCGGCCCACAACCCGGCACTGACATTCAGCCGGAACCGGCCGTTCGACCGTCGCGCTTTACGGCCGCCATCACGAAGAATGCTGGGAAATGCAGTTCACCCGCGAGGCCCCAGCAGACAGGACTCTACGAACCAACTACAAGGCCCGGCATGCATCACGCAACTGCGGGCCTGCGGCCTGCGAGAAGAGGCGGAGCGAGAGGAGGAGCATGCGCCGTCCCGTCCCAGTGGGCGGGAATGGGAAACCTGTGCGCAGAACCATAGAAGGAAGTTGGGGAAGTAGGGTAATTGTAAATAATGGCAATATTAACAATTACCAGCTTTATGATAAAAAAAGAGTAGCTATTGCATATACCATGTGCCTAAGCGCTTACATATAATTATTCTAACAACCCCATGAGGTGGGTTCTATTATTTTTCCCATTTACTGTCAAGGAAATTGAATCACAGTGAGGTTGACTTGCCCAAGGACATGCAGCTAGTAAGTGACAGAATTAGGATTCAAACCCAGGTACCCTTATTTTTATCCCCCAGTAAAAAACAAACAAAACTAAAGTGCATCAGATCAGTAATGGCCTTATTTGTCCTCACAGCCTTTTTTCTTTTTCTACTTCAATTTATATTTAGAAAGACAAGCAACAATGTACCAAAACTGAACATCCTGTACTTTGAGAGGATTTCTCTGGTCTTCACCCAAAACCCATGCCATTTCCCAAACTAACATTTTTTTAAATGGAAACAACTTCCTATATGAGCCAAGATGTCTCTATAAAAAGTGAGAAGCTCCAAGGAGGTAAAATGACCCTGTTCACCATTCATTCACTTATTTCTATACCTCATACTTATCCAACGCCTATTGTGTACAATCTACTTTGCTCAGAACAGAATTGGACCAGGAGCTAATGTTCTCCCCAATGCTCAGCACAAAGCTTGGTGCTAATTGGTGTTCAGCAAATATTGACACAGTGAATGAATACATGAAAGTTTGTTTCACCTTCTGCAGTTGGAGAAATGGAGACCAGTGGAGGATTAATGGTTTTGCTGTGTAATTCATCTAAAGGAGAATTACATCTAAAGAAACAGTCATGGAAAAAAGGGGGAAAAAGGGCAGGTTCTGGCCTCTAGACACAGGCAGGCAGGCCGATCAGCTTCCGAGGCCACGCCATTTCTCTGGGTCTTGGTTTCCTCATCTGTAAAAAAGTGTAACTTACTACACTACCCTGTCTGGCTCCACCTAAGCAATGCATGTAAAGCACCCAGCTCAGTGGCCTGAGTTTTAGTAGTTTATGGAACTGCTTTGGAAGGCCCTGTGGCAAGATCAGCCTCCTGAAGGATGTGCAAGGGTTCCCCATGAGAAAGGGATTCGCTTTTCTGTGTACTTCTTGGGTTGCTTCTTATTTCTTTGTTGCTTGTAGGGTTGCTTCTTATTTCTTTGTAAGCCATGTTTAAAAACAATAATGCAACCCTACTGGCTAAAGGTCCGACCTGCCTGGGGATCTCTTTACTCAGGTGTCCCTGAACACTACAATGCAGAACTCTCCGCAGTAGGCAGACCTTCCTGCAGCCAGAATTTGGAAACCTAGGGGACATTGGTTGATTATCCCCACCATAAAAATAAAAAAAATAAAAAACTGGCCCTTTGAGAAAGTCCAAGATGTTCACTATTAAAGTCCACCTCCCCTCCCCTACCCCGCCTCCTTTTTCATCTGGTAAACTGAGTCCCAACAAAGCGTGGCGCCATATTCAAGTCCAGCAGGGTGCAGAGAGAGCTCGCGGTTTCCTTCAGCTTTTGTCGCCTCTAAGTTTGAATTGTGTCGGACTTCTTTCCAGTCCCCCTACTCCGACAGGGACTCAAAGAAGCGAATTGGATTTGGGATCAGGGCGGAGTCCAGAACCAGGAAAGCAACTCAGTGGCCAGCGCCCCCAGCCACAGGGCTGAGAAGTACCCGCCCCCAGACAGCTCGGAC